CCTGCTAGCCAGAGTGGAATCTCGACTTGCCCAGCGGCTTTCCTGTATAAAAGTGAGCTTCTATCTATTCTTGTCACCAGCGACGCTTATGACGAAGCGACTTACCACAGTCAGCGCAGTAGTTTCTGGTAACCAATTGATCAATATAACTGAATTCTGCAAAAACCACACCATGAGAGAAGTGTTGCCCCATTTATCGACGCTGCCTACTACCTAAACTCGCGCCGTAGGCTTTATTTTTAGATGGGACACCGCCTGACACCCTCCGATGCTGCCTTTTGTTTATCATCACGGCATATGCTTCGTAAAAAAAAACTTTACCGGTATTTTCTACATATAAAACACCGCTGCCCACCGTCATTGTGGAGGTGTTCCTGCAGGCAGATGATAATTCTATCTCTATTAGATTTATAAAGAATCGTTTAAGGGTTTGATTTTGGCTGGCTATCCCCTCTGTAGCCTTTTAAGCCACGATGGATACCAAGATACAAGAGATTAGTCTTCAGATCCTCTCCTTAAAGAGATGTTACGATAGAATTTGGTGAAACTTGTTGTCTTCACTCTATCAGAGAATTAACCCGGGTTGCGTGAATATCAGACGCAAGTCGCGACATCCCGCCCGCCTCGTAGCAGGACGAAACAGTCCAATCTGTAAATCATAACAATTAACAGAACGGCAGCACTACTTGCCGTGAGACAATCCGTGGGGTTTTAACTAGTACTGTGTTATGACTAGAATAACTATATTCTATCCAAAACGAGAATGATCTCGGTTCGCGCATAAGCGGGCAAAGTGGATCATACTATAATTCTACTGGATTATATTATTACAATCGAATGGTGAACAATTTACAGGTAACTATCCTAGCGACGAGTATTTGTAATATTTACAGCGAATGTGAGTATTTACAAAGATGCCTACGCAGCATGCTGCTCCAGTGTAAAGTATACATTTTAGTGATCGGACGCTTGAATACGCCCTTTGCAGTTTTTAACGTGACTACTCGGACCAAACCATCTCGCCCCGGGTGGAAGGCAGTAATTCGCGCTAAAGCCCACTTGGTAGGGGGTTGGAGCTCGTCTTTGATGAGCACCAGGGCTCTCAACTGGAGATTGTCAGCGGTTCGTCTCGATTTGTACAGCTGTTGCAAGTAATACACATATTCGGACGCACACCGGCTCCAAAAATGATTCCGCATGCGCGAAATCTGCGCCCAGCGCGACAACACATAAGACGCTGGTTTACCTAAAAGAGGCTCGGGGAGGTTGACCAGAGGTTCGCCAACCAAGAGGTGACCGGGCATCAAGGCTGATAAGTCTGGGTCGTTGCT